GAAATTAACGCGGATATTTATGCCGATATAGATTCTTTGGGACCAGTTTGTTGGGACTGGAATCGAACGGACGTCCCTTTTTTCGTTTCGGTTTGCTGGCGTTTGAATCGGACGTTAGGTACAAGGAAGCTTAGTAATTGTATGTTTAACTGGATGGTTTATTAAATTGCGAAGCTCGCGACAGAAACGTGAGGTGTTTCAGTGGTAATGGGATATCAGCTTTTAGAAACCTGGATTTAGAAGGTAACCGGAAATTGAAGGTTTCCTGGATGCTATGCTTTGAAACTCATTTGTGACTGTATTATAAATATTAAGCAATACGACGATGGAAATATTAAAATCGTAGATTCCTATGGTATAGTATTCTACACTACAATAAAAACACAAGACGATTGGAACTGCATTCCAATGATCTCTACCAAGCCCCTTCACCGAAAACGAAACGTCACGTTTCCAAGCGTCAACTGGAAAACACCTAAATTCCAGAAACAATCCCATCGATTACATTCCCAAAGGCCCGTTCCTCGAAACAATCGATCGCAACGGTTCGCTCTCGAGGCATACAATTCTCCCGAAATTACTCGCCTAAAAGCACTTGCAACTTATTAGTACTATAAACCGCCCACGCGTACTCCACATGGCCATCGCGAGTCAGGAACGGTGGGGGCCGGCGCGTTTTTTCTTCTCGAGGGGGCCGAGACCGGTGGAAAAAGAAAGAGCGAAAAGAAGGGGAACTATCGCGATAATTCATATTCGACGAGCAAAAGGCCGCGAGTTACGGCCGATAAATAAACGAGCATCCTCTCTGCAACAAAATTCCATCGCTAATGCCTAGACCATTACAAGTTACGATTGATGATTTATGATCGGGCCGTGATCGCAGATAAAACTAACTGGCAGCCACGGATGAACGAGGCGACAAGCCGTAAAATTCGAAGTACCGCGGGCTCGTGATCATGCGCGTGCGCTCGCGCGCTCCACGTTGCCCCGCGTCTCGTGACCGCGCAACCCCCACCCTCCCCTGTCGAGCGGCTCGTCTAGTCCTCTCTAACCTGACCAGCGAAAAACCGATTGGAAATCTATTTCTCGAAACATTGTCGATACCACCGATGAAACGGGCGCACGAGCGAATCGACGATAATCCGCCGTGTCACAGTTAATTAAGCTTGATTTACGCCGATGAGATGGCCGGTAGCAAGAAACGGAAGCTGGGGGCACTGGCGGAGCATGTCGACGATGGAGACCTCAACCATCCAACAGGAAATACACGTGAACGCGTGCAAGAGCACGAGTCTGTGTGTGTGTACGCATTTAGTCCTTGTCTCCTTTTTTCTTCTTCTTTTTTTTTGTTCGTTGCCTTTTTACTGCGGTATTAAAATCTTGATGTTTATTTTACGCGATATTGATCTGTAAGACCGATAATAATTTAGTCTTATTTGCTTCCGAGGATTTTATTGCGCCCTTCTTGTCGGCGGTCGCTCCGAGGCCTCGTCGCATCCCCTGTTATGGAGTGTTCCTTGTTCTTGGGCAGATTTGAATGTTACCATTTTTCAACGCGAATCCGGTCAACAGTTTTTGTGGTGGTAATTGAAGATTGATAGTTTGCTGTGCGAAGTATTTTTGCGTGACGATAGCACTGATCGAGGAATATTTTGTTTTAACCCTTTGCACCCGGAAATCTTTCATTAGGTGTATTCAATATTTTTCAGTGAGTTGTTCTTTGAAACGAACCTTATGGAAGAATATACATAAATTAAGAAACAAAGTAATTATTTCACTATTCCACATATTTATGGATTACACGAAGCTTAATACTGTGTGTACTCTTTGATATTTCAAAATTACAAAGCAAATGGTGACTGAGTGTCATCTCTCGAGTGCAAAGGGTTAATTGATGTAGATTTGAGAAGGAAATTATTTTTTGGAGAGATCCAATTTTTCGTTTCGTTGTTGATGATTGATAGTGAAGTGAAAATTCGTTGGGTATGTTTAATATTGATTTTTGTGTTTACCGATTGTTTGTTTTGGGTTTCTTGTTGACTTTGTTTTGGCAGATTTCGCAACTAATTAGAATCGATAAGACATACTCTGTTATTGTCGTTTATATTTATCTGAGATTTATATAATCGGTGCAATTGAATGTTTAAATAAACAGTGAATTGACAATCGCATTGCCAACTGGAAATACTAGTTTTTGCCTGTGTATTATCCGTCCGCATATTTACTCCTTCATTTCTTTCGAATTCGCAGGCATCGAGTCACTAATCAAGTTTCTCAATTTTTCCAATTTAACAAATAACTCATCGATTCCTCCTGTTTCCCCACTACACCGACAAATTCATCGGACACTTCGTAACCTATTAATCATACACCTGTAGAAATAATTATACGAAACTGTCCAACAAGGAAGTCACTACGCAATCAGCTTCTCCCATTCATAAATTTATAAATTTCGTAAACATCATCCCTTAACCATTCAGCCAAGAATGACGAATACACTCGCCGTTCACATTAATCTCCCGCCTCATCTTATTTTCACTGTTCACACCCAAGAAACCCTCGCATCAAATTGCATCACAACATTCGTGAAAACAGAAACGAATTAACCAACTGAAACCACGAACCGAACGTCAATCCATTATCACAATTACGTATTCAAGATTACAAAATTATCACTGTAGTCCAATTCTGATTCACCGAACAGCCTCCAAGCGTCTCGAAAATAAATTAATCAACTCATCACCGCCTACGCGCGAATTTGTCGTTCCCCGTTGCGTCACATCCCCGAAAACTCGTCCCGAAGGAAAAAAATAAGACCGTACACAACCGGCCACTTCCCTCGATCGTTTCACAACACCGTAAAATCCACGGATCTACTCTTTCACAACGTTCCACCGAAATTTTCCCGGAGTCACCGCGTTCCCCGAATCGAGGCGCCATCGAAAGATGACTGGATGGATCCGCTATCTCGTCCGCGCATTAACGATATCGCCTTATCTAAGTATAATTCATAATTGGATGTTATCGGCCGCCAACGAGTGAATCAATTACGCTCGTAGCGGTCGCGTTTCGGATTCTAAGTGCTTCTCGTGGCCGATAACGGGAGGGCCGACCGTTCGAACAACAACGTTACAAAACCAACCGTTCCAACGGTTACGAAACCTTTGCGTAACATCTTGAACCGCGTCCGCTCGGCCACCGGCGAAACTGATTTACCAACTTTTTTTATCGGCGAAAAAGAAAAACTGATTATATTGTCCCGCGAGCGGCGCAGATTCCGCAGAGATTCGCGAGGGTCGTTCGCGGCGGGAGAGAACCGGTCGCGGCCGCGCGTTTAAGCCCCGGGAAAAAGAATCGCTCGGGCGCTCGAGTTTATTAACTCGCCTGAAAATGACGAGTTAACTCGCCGCCGCGGAGCCTGCTCGGCCGGAACCGAGGACCGAGTTGTCTGGTTCTCGGGGCTGTGGACGTTTCGATCGCGGGCCGCTTTTTTTCCCCTGCTGTTTCTCGTTAAAGCCGGGGGCAATTAGCGAGTCGAATTCGCCGACGGTTCGAGGAACTATCGGATAGCTCGGTTCCCGGGAAAATCGAACGTGGCTGACGTTCCTTCGGATCGCGGAAAAAGATCTTATTGAGAGAAAGTGCGGATTAAGTGACTACGGTTTTTGCCCGCTCCGGCGGACAGGGTTGCTAGGAATTTAACTGTTAGTGAGTTCTCTGATTTTTGCAGCGGAGAACGGGATTCTTTAGCTGTGTTCCAGGTTTCGGAGTTGGGTGGAAACGGAGTTTTATGGGATCGGCAGTGGAGACTTGTCGAGAGTTTGTTTCTAGTGGTCGTTCATTTGTGGAGATGGAGTTTTTTTCTGTGTACGGTGTGTAACATGTTTTGTAGCTTTTAATTGTGGTTTTGGGGGGAAATGTTAGAGATAGAAGTTATCGAAAGGAAATCTTTGGAAAATCATTTGTGATAGTTGAGGAAGCGAAGTGTTTTAAGGAAACTGTGAAACTTGAACTGTAGTGGAGCAGTAGTGTAGTGTCATGGTTAATTAATAACAGCAGGGAAATTTCAACGCTTTTGTAATGGTTACTTTTCTAGTAAAATGGATCTCTCAACGTCTGCAGAATTCATATGCAGGAACATTTTATTCCGCTCGTTAGAGAGCATTCATCAATCATATCTTTATGTAAATGCCAGGGGACGCGTTAATTAATGAATGCAAATGTTCAAGAAACTAGTGGATATAATAGGCGCATTAAGAATTAATTTCAACTCGATATTAAACATTATATAATCTAATCTCAAGTCAGTAAATCAGATGTAAGCAGATTGGTACGTCGTTCAAAGCTTCCAGTAAATTGTTCTATTTCAATTTACATCCTATCTTCAAGACATCTCATTTAAATCTTGAAACCCCCTACAATCTCGTCTCTCCGACTTATTTCAACACAAACTTCAATAAATCAACTCCCTGAAACTAAACTTTCCAACCCTCGATCGAATCACTCACAAATCAACGCTGCTTCACTCATAAATATCTGCTCCAGCTTCAAAACATTCTACCTAAACTCGACAAATCTAACGAGCTCCTCTAAACGTCCACCTAAATACTTAAACCAAGCAACCCTCCAACTCGCAACCTTCCATCTCCAATCTAAAAACACTCACTAATTAACCTATCCTCGAATATCCAAACATCCTCCTTAACGTCCACAACACCAACAACCTCTTCTCAACGTCATCAACATAAATCTCACCTCGTCAACCCCTAAAGCCCTATTCCAATTAAAAACGCCTGAGCAATCGATATTCCCAGCAAATCCTCCATCATCGCATCTTTCACGCAGCGCTCCCTCAACTCGACAACCCTAAACGAGCCTACGTATCTCCTGACCGAAATTCCAGTCTTTGACATCGATCTCCGTCCCGAACGTTCCAATTCCCAACCGAATCCTCACGGATCCTCAAACCGCAGGGGCTCCAATCTCAAACCGTTACGTACCTCCAGGAAATCTGTGCGGGAAGATGCGTCCGTGCCTGGACAGTAGCCACGGATAGAGCGGGTAACTGTCCCTAGGCGGTTGATGGGGATGCGGCGGCGGATGAGGTGCTCCGGGCGCGCCTCCATGGGGGTAGGGTCCGTGCGGCGGTCCATGAGGCGACGCGCCGTGGTGCGCTTGAAGGGCAACCGCCAGGTTCGCAGCCTGGAAGTGTTGCGCGGCCGCTAGGTTCGCGGCCAAAGCCAATTGCTGCGTGTGGTACTCGTTCTGGCCGGTCTGCGGGCCAGCCGGGCCGTGTCCGGGTATCCCGTAGAGGGACTTGAGCTGTTCCGCGGCGACAGCAGCCGCAGTTGCCGCGCCCGGCGGCGGCGCTAGATAATTCGGACTAGGTCGGACAACCCCTGGCGGCGGTTGAGGATGTGCGCCAACCGGGGAATCGCCGTGCGATATCCTGTGAGGAGGACTAGGGCTGTTATTGGGCGTGGACCCGCCGCTGTGACTGTGCACCGTCGTTCTACTGAAGTCCAGGTGCGTCGCGGCGGTCAGATGATGATGGTGCCCGTGATGGTTCCCGTGATGATGATGGAGACCGTGCGAAGGCGTTCGCCGGGAGTTAGGGTATGATTCTATAGAGGAACTCCTCGATACAGGCCTATCGGAGCCTTCGGAATGAGCGCCAGGTGATCTCGCTGTGACCCGACGACTCCTAGGCGAAGATGAGCCTTCGACATCCATAGGGCTGCCATCCCTCTCAATCTCCACCCGCTCCAAACGGTCCAACCTGTCCTCTCGACCGCCCTGCCCGCCGCCACCCACGATTGAGTCGATGCTGAAGCCGATCTTCGGCTTCGTGGGCACCGGAACGATTGGCGTCGGCGCGAGCGGCATCATCGTACGATTATCGCACGCTTGGCTGACGGGACACACTTGCGGCGGGTCGGGATGGGATTCCAAGTGGGCTACGCGGAGTCAAGTCCGCCGCATCGCTGCTGCAGGCTTTCCTCGGATGTCGGAGGGTGTTTCGACACTGTCCGATCCACTCTTCCTTTTGGTAACACACTAACTGTAGCTTTTCTTGCACTTGGATAATATCAGGCTGGTCTCGATTGGGTACTTTACTCAGCAACTATCATGTCCGAGGTGCACCATCCGAATTGCGGGTTAATCACTCAGTTCCCGGCACCAAAAGCACACATCGCGGACAATCCTTGTACCGTCGAATGTCACCGCGAGGGATCACCCGGGTCCACGATGATCCCGACGCATTTAGAGGAAACCAGAGTTCACCACTTGGAATTCACATAAACACACACTGGGCATCCGGCGATGATCTCCATCGAGGGAGCTGGTTCTCTAGCTACGAGTACTTATCACCGAGGATCGACGCGCGGGTGACGCGAGCCTGTCGAATGGAAACGGCGCGTGATCGGTTCTCTGCGTCTGTCGGCCTGACCCGGGCCAAACTGCCGGAGACAGGAGAGAGCAGCGTGCGAGAGCCGCGAGCGAGCTTCACGGTTCGGGAACGCACCAGCAGGCCAGCAGAGCTCCGCGGCTCTGACGGATGTTTCTGGCACGAGAGCTTGCTAGTGTTTGAGCAAATTACAGGCTAAACGAGGCGCTCTTGGCCGGTGGTGGGGGAGCTCCGCCGAGTCACCCGTCACCCCCACCAACCGGATTCGCTTTCGGCCGCTGGTGGGGGGAGCGAGAGCCGAGAGACGGTGGGCGGGGCCAAGCGCCGCGAACGGCGAGGCTAGGCGTGCCGCCTGATCCCTCCTGATTGGTCCGAATGTACTGTCGGACGCTCTTCGCCAGGCACGAACCTCGCTACCGCGATTCCTTCGGGCACGGCCGAGCTGCAGAGGGGCGACGCATTAGCCGCCGATGGGCGTTAAACTCACGTTTTTGTCGTGCGATGAAAATGAGTCGTTTAATTAATACGTCTGGAGGCCCCCACCCCGCAGATTCTCGATCCCCCTTCTGCCTTCTCGTCGTGGAGGCTCTCCGTCGCTCCGCCGTGGCAACCGTCTTTTCACCACTCGCCGGCTTCGCCTCTGCTGCCGCGGCGGCTTTCTTTCGCCCCGCAGGAGGAGGAACACGGCCCGGGAAAAGTGTTCGCCCGCGACGCTCCGTGAGCCCACTTCGTGCGCTCCGTTGATGCGCCCCTGTGGGAGGGGTGGCGAGTTTTTGGAGCGCTCTGTTCTGGAGTATGGTTTTCGCGGAGTATACGGGAAATACTTCATTTTCGTATTGATTTCTCGAGGTGATTTGTTCGGAAGCAGGAATTTTCAGATTTTCGGAGTGGAATATTGCTTCTTTTCCTGGTTGATATGCGCGTAAGTTGGAGTTCGCTTGATTGTTTTCGTTGTACTGTTGTTGTACGCTTCGTTGGTTTCTTCTGCAGGAAAGTTACACTAGCGTCCGGCTTTTTCTACCTTGTTTTGCTGTTGACATTATGGAATCCTTAAGTTCTGCGGAAACACGAATGTTCGCTTAGAGTTTGCGGTACTTGGGGTATTACCAGTAAGAATAGTTCTTATTGGAGAGTTGTACAGGATGTTTGCTGAAAATTGTTGTTTCTCTTAATGGACTAGTTTACTTTAATTCCTTTATCATTTCCAGTGCTTTAAATACTGTTTACGTAACAAACTTTTCCTATTGAAAGGACGTTTCCTTTCTACAATATTTACTGTTATTTGGAGTCTGAAACGTATGCAATTAAGCAAACTCTCATTCAAAAGTAAAGTATAATTTCGAATTTCTAAATTTAATGTATTTTCATCTTCTGCAATTTCAAAGTGATAGTTCGCCTGCCAAAAATTTCGCTGTTACTCCTATACAGGACGTTGAGACGATATTAAAGCAGCAATTTGCAAAGATCTGGTTTTCTACATCAGCTTTAATGAATCCAGATAGTGCCAACGGGCAATTACCGTAACACTACCATTCCAATCGCATAATTGAGGTATTAAACGTTGCCAGTGACAATTTCTTCCAACCGCGCGTGAAAAATGTGTAACCCGAGGAGACGTATCCTGGTTTAATGCCTGTGTTTACACTAATGATCCAGTCGATTCAGAGAAACGCTCTCCAAACGGACGAGAAATTACAACAACGAAACACGAGCAAGATGATTGTTGATCGTTTATGCAACGCATAATGCCCAGTTTATCAGACACGCTTGATGGATCTGTTAAATAAAACATTATCAGTTCTGAAGAAACTCTCCGAGTTCAGTTTGCAGAAACATATTTAAAATTTCTATATATTATCCCCTTTCCTAAAAAGAATAATATCAATGTCACATTTCAGTCAAGTTCTCAAACATTCCACGCTTCAATTCCTCGAACAAAACCATTTTCGTTTCAACAATAAATTACTTAATTTTCTTCGAACGAGACCAATCACAATTCAACATATCAATTTTCGCAAGCAGCGAATAAAATTGCAAAATAACAGACACCAGCCGGTCAACTCAACGTACAAAAATCCCCAACCGTCGAAACCTTATTCAACATGAATGCGCCGATGTTTCTGCAAATAGCAGTCGCGCTGAAAAAAACCAATAACCATTAGGCCTCTCTTATCTAATTAGCAAGAAGAAACGAGTCAATTAGCCGGGTATCATCTTCGGTAGCAAAAAGCAGGACGTAGCCGGACGAGCTGTTCAAACGATTTTCTTACGTCGTTCACCGATACCGTAATTGGCGGACGAGCCCCGGCTAATGGTAGAAAGTCCCTCGAAATCGTCGGGAGCCGAGACGACCGCTGGAAAGTCGAGGAAAATGTTGAACCGGATGATTGGCTAGCCGGCCGGATAATTCGCGGAATCGGTCCCGATAATTCTCTCCTCTCCTCCGTGTCGAACACTACAATTACAGCGTAAAATGGCCGTTTGATTAGCCGCCTATCTCTTATTTTTACACTTTTTCCCCTCCCATTTTTCGCTTCCCTTCGATGCTTTAATGCCTGCTTTCGCGACAACGCGAGATTCTAGACTGTTAGGGGCGCAGCATTCGTAATTCCAGTGATCCGCCGGATGATTTTCTTAAACCGGGCCGCTGACGGTAATCGGTCGTCGGCCACCTGAAGCGACCGCGAAAATAGATCGACACAGTTTTTTGACGGAGCAGCCTTCGCCGCGTGTACCACGATTCAGCCGCGTCGCGGTCGTGCAATTTGTTTCCCCGTTATTTCGTGACCGGTGTCCCGTTAGCGTCTTATCGGATCTAAGGTCTCCCGGGTTTGATTAATTCCGATTGTCGCCGTTAATTGGTAGAAAATAGAGATTAGCATCGGTGTACCGCGGGAGGAACGTTTACGCGGGCCGTGTTCACGGGAGTCGCGACGCGTTCCCGCGCGTGAATTGTGTCTGTCGATTTTTTGGAGATAAGGGGACGGGCTTAATTGATAATGCTGAAAATAATGGCCGATCTTGTTACGCTGTTGAGAATTTATTAATGGAGGCGAGCGAAGCTGGTGTTGAACTTGGTTTGAGTAGTGGCAAATGTTTTCGTAATTAAGGAGATGCTTTGGATATGTTTTTACTAACAAGGGGGTTGGAAAACTTGAAACGTGAAATTTAAATTGGATATGGTATTTAATTATTCAGGTGGTGCTAAATGATAGAGAGAAAATAGTCTTGCGAGTATTATTGGGGGTAGGATTAAAAGAAGGAACTCATTTTAAAAATTAATAGATATTTGAGTGACTATTTATGAAATAGAAGGATAAATAAAAAGCTTAAAAGACAAGTCACTGTAGAAACCCTTAATCTTCCACTTTCTACTTCACTAAGAAAATTCCTTGTAATATCACAGTCACATATAATCGAAAAATTGCAATCAAATAAAATACCATCAATATAAATCGCAAAAAGAAAGAATATTTCAAATACCAAGGGATTAACATTATAATAACGTATTAGAATTTCAAACAGAATCGAACAAGCATAAATACTATTCTTCCAAATTCAATTGAATATTCTTCTATCATTAATTACCATACTCCAAAACAAACGTAGAATATTCCCAAAATGTTTCGATTTCTAAAAATCTCCAATAAACAATGAACCCTTCGCAGTCAAACACCGTCATAATAGAGACTTCAAGCACCAATATCTAAACTCGAAAGCTGCAAATGAATAATTCAACGATTCAAATGCCCCGAGACTGACGTGTAGTTTTCTCTCTTCATTTAAAACTTCAATGCACAACTCAGCTTCTTCGCGAAACAGGATTTCAAAGGTCTAACAAATTCTCGTCCACGAACGGCTAATATCGAAGCACCTACCTGCATCAATCATAATTCAGAAACAAATCACGGAGCGAAGGGTTAAGGGACACAGTCGAAGTGTCAGGACGCTCGCGTCGCAGCGACTGTTGCCCCTCCAGCCCCCCCGCGGTAAGGATAACCAGCCCCCATGGCGGAGCCGTTGATGCGCGATTTCTCGCCCTACCGAGGAGACGATATTGCGACCGGTATATCGCGTTCCCGACACCTGTGTAGGTGTACGGGACACGTGGAACGGAAGTGGGGATATTCAACATGGCGACTCCGCACACATCGTACACAGAGGTGCACCAATGCGCGAGCAGCGTGCACGCCCGTCCAGAACACACCGTTCCCCTTTCCATTCTTCTTTCTACTCCTGTTCGCGCTCCGCTCCTTCGTTTTCTTCCCTTTTCCACGACTTCGCTCCCCGACCCACCTTTCCTCCCCCCCACGCTCGCGATACATCTGTTGCTAAATACCTTTTCAACGTTATGGTTTTCATCCGACCTTCTTTGGAGAACCGTTTGGAGAACGCGATGGCCACTTCTCTTCCATCGTTTCTTTGGAATTTTCTGCCTTTTTTCTTCTCCGTTCGATGTTCCCGTTCACGTCGCGACGCTCGTTGTTCCCTCTTCTTCTTTGTTCTCGTTAGCTTTTTGCTTCCCTAAGTCTCGTATTCTTGCGCACCTGCTGCTCGCCATCTCCTCAACATTGTGGCTTTTATTGCGGGTTCTTGGAGAACGCTTTTGTCCGATGGCTGTTTCTTTGGGAATTTAGTGATCTGGTTCTTTATATGGTGTCATCGGTTTCTTTCTCTTATTCCTCGATGTGCCCTTTTATTGGACTCGAAGACATTTTTTAATTAGTTTGTCAAGACTGTGGGTTTCATTTTTGGAGAACGGTTTAAGTTGGTTCTTTTCTTGTTTATTTGGTTGAGTAGTTTAGCATTATGGTTCGTATTGTAGGATTTCTTCACTCCTTCCTTTTATTCCTGTTACATCTTCACTTTCGTGAGTATCTTGTCGCTCAGCTGCAATTAGAAAGTTCTAACGGCAACTTTTCAACATTGCAGCCTTCGTTTTACATTTTTGGAGAACGGTTCGATTTTATGGCTGTGGCGTTGTTTCTTCGTTATTTCTGGTGTCACTTCGATGCAATTAGTGGTAAACATTTTTCCTACTTTCGATTTTGTTTTCTTGTAAGCTAGTTTCTTCTACTCTTTCGTGACTAGTTCTGACTGATGTACTTTTTGTTCTTCTTACTATAATTACGCTTTCACTTCATAAGTCTCCCGTCATCGACTTAATGCACTCATTGCTATATAAATGCACACTTTTATCTTCGTAAGTGTTCCCCGGGAACACGAGCGCCTGACGGCCATTTCCTCATTACTCTTTAATGACCTGAAGGATACCGGTAATATTCTCGTACTTTAACAAGCTTATTAAGTTCGAGTAAGTACCGGTAGCACACGTATTTCCGCTTTACGAAATAAATGATAATGGTACGTTAATTAATAAATACACAACAAAATTATACTTTGATAATTCAGAGATTGAGTATACATATGCATATATTATAATAATCATGACTTCGTCAAAGAAATTATATTACAAAATTAATCTCTCGTTAATGTTCGCGTTATCTCTTCAAGAATATTAATTCTCACTTTAATTTTCTCTTTTAATTTAATTTAATCAGAATATTACTAAAAGGCATAACAATCGATAAAACAAATCTTATCACTACATTTTTATACTTTCAGCTTCATTTATTATTGTTATATATACAATAAAACCTCGATTTTCTCACAACCTTCTTTACAAACTCAATAAAACACAAACATCAACATATATACCGACACCTCCATCAACGATAAATCAGTTAATAATGAACACTCATTAAATATTTACGTCACGATCAACGCAAACTTCAAAACAAACCCCTCCCTTCTGATCGAAGGATCATTCTACATCCCTCAAAACAAAAAACAAAACAGTCTTGTTACAGAAGCTCGCGGCCGTAAGTCAGCCCACAAAGTAGCTGCTTGAAGCGGCGCCTTAACGACGCAAGAAAAGGGGTGTGCTAACCGACGCCACGAAAATTTCGGTGCCCGGCGTCGAATTTAATACATTTCGAATTTAATATTCGCCGGCCGTACCAGAAGAAGGAACCACCAGGACCGGCCAGGCGCGGACAAACGAGCCGAAATAAAACGGCGGACGTCTCCTTTAGAAAATTTGCATGCACTTTGTGCTCCGAAGTGCCGGAAACCCGAATAAGCCGAGAAAAGGGAGGGAAAAAGAAAGAAAGAGAAAGAGAGAGAAAGAGAGAGAGTGGCCGGGTATACATCTGTATATACCAACGGTCACACCTGTAAATCCCTTTCGGGCCCATTGAAATCTCGGACGCCCGCGGAGATGATTTTTACGGGTCGTGCGCTCTCGCCGGGAAGAAAGGAACAGAAATGGAACAAAACGACGCTGGAAAGGGAGAACTGGAGAACAGGAAAGAGAGAGGAAACGCGGCAACGAGCAAGGATACTCGGCAACCATTCCAGGACCTGTCGAAAAGTCGACTGTTTTGTGAGTTACAACGCTCGGGAAAAGGGAAATCGATACCTCGATCGTCAGTGTTCGGGGACGGTGAACGCTATTTTGAGGAGGATTCTCGACTACAGGGGTCACCAGGATGAATTCTTCCTGTTCGAGGAAGAAATGGATACTAATGGACGCCGTTTGAATGACAAGGAGATCCTGGGTGAGTGTTAATAGTAGTTTTATTGTAGTTTGCTGTTGAATGTAGTCGTCGATTGTTTGAGCGTGTCCTTCTTGGGTTCTCGTGGAATTGCTCGTGGCAATGGAAGTTTAACAGTCTTTTTTTGGAGTAGTTTATTTTTTTCAATAAAAATATTGAAATACAGTCATGTAGATATTGAGATAAAATATATTTTTATTATGAAGATTGAAATCTGTACATTTTCGAAGTGTAGTGTTTAATAAGTGAAGAATTTAATTTGGATTGTGAGCGAAATTGGTGTCATAGTAAACAACGATTTTGTGGAGCAAGAACGTGAACGTACAAGAAAATCGGTTATATTGGAACGAAACAGTTTCCCATTCTCGTTAAAAACTGATTGTACGAAGGGAACGGAACGAGCACCGAAAATTTTCGAAGTCAGAAAGGATTGATATCGCGACGTAAAAGGAAAACGCTCGTTTCGCTCCGAAAATCCGTTGCGTTCGGATTAAATCGCTCGTGGACTCGTTACAACGTCATTGTTGCCGCTGGAAAATAGAAAGAAGAAATACAGCGCGACACAATCGCCGATTCTGCCGCCATTGTATCGCTCATTGTTTGAAACCCTCCGCGACAATGAACTTTTTGCCGCTTCCCGCTCGAATTTAACCGAAAAAACCAACGAGAAACGGTTATCTCGAGTTTTCGCGGCGTTCCTTTCGTTCTGCGAACCAATCGCCGGCTTCTACTCTCGATTTATTTCTTTTCCGCGGATTCTAGAATTTCGGAGGAAAGGAACAAAGCGAGAAAGCTGTAAAGAAATAACTGTGAGACTTTGCTATCCTTTGTGCGAGCACAATAGGAAACGTAATTGGACAGTAGGCAGATGAAAAAAACGTATTTCACCGTTATTCCTTAATTTAAGAATGAAATTACAGATGTATTTATGGGAGTAGACAATTTATGATACGAATTTTAAAAAATGAGCAGTATGGTATTACTTTTAGAAGATATTGACAATTTTTTTCACGCGTATCCTTGTAAAAATTGCATTATCCCCCCATAATTTACAGAAAATTCTACGTTCTTTATAAATCTACATCTACCCCACAGAATAAACATTATCTAAAAAAAATATAAAATTCCATTTGAACTCGAAAGAAAATATTCATATCCATTATCCTTAGTTCAAAATCTTCACAAGTCTAACTCGTCACAACAGAAGGGGTTGAAATTCATCGAGACTTCGAGCGAACTTAAAAAATCACACGTGACACAAACACGCAAGATGCAATCCTCAATATAACCATTAACCCATCTCTGAGCTTCGATATCTAAAATTGAAAACTGCGAATGAATGACTTAATTATTTCATTATCGACAGACCGACACATAGTTCTTTTTCTTTTATTAAGCTTCCGATGCATAATTAATTTTCTGTCGAGAGAAATGTCACTAATTTAAAACAGTCTCGTCCGCGAAGGGTTAACTATTGACAATACTCGGATGTAATGAAATAATTGAACAAAAATACGAATGCAAACGAATTCAGTCGTGAGACGCACACGTTTCCCGCGGTCCCGTCGCAAAATTTACCATAGAACCGGCATTACGCCGAGATTACTAGCTTATTATAATTGTAACGTGTAATCGATACGCTGGCAGCGGGTACCTGACAATGCCCGGGCCCGTGCACAATGCAGAAAATACGAGGCTGCCCGCGGGGAGGGCCCGTTTCACAAAACCTTTCCTCCCTTTTCACATCGGGGACTGGCCGGCTCCTCGGCGAATAAATGGCCTGATTAAGCACGCCATTTTGCCTGTAATGTAATCTTTAAGCGCGCGTCGACTTCCTTCGTTCGCCATTGTGCCCGTGCGCGGTGTCTCGTCGATCATTTCTAAGGATTAAGCCTCGGCCCGCCATTGTGCCCGCGATTATTCATGTTTCTATGGATGCCGGGGAACGAGGACGACGACGCAACATTTGGAAAGGAACCTTAAAACCGCGAGAATCGTGCCACACTTTTGTTAGCCAGTTACATAGCTGTTTTCGACGAGCATACTCGTCATGAAGAGATGGCATGATTTTGTGTTATGGCTTATATTGACGTACTACTTAACGAAGTAGTGGCAGTTTGCCGTTTGAATTGCAATTTTAGTAGAAACTAAAGTAGATTCGTTTTCGAGACATTTTGGATATTTTGAGGCCAAGGCGAAATGAAAGAAATTGAAAAGTGTAAATAATTATTATTGAAAATGTATATAGTTCGAACAAAGTAAGTGGTTGTTTTAGAATCGAGATATTGGTGTTCGAATTGCGAAACGTTATGTGCTTGTTTTACTCAGTGTTATTGTATTCTACTTATTTTCTGACAGGCGATTAGCCGCAGTTTTTCATTCGTACGAGTGTAATAATTAAAATATCTCGGAAAAGAAGACGAACGTAACTTAAACCAGTTTCGTAATCGCTGGATCATTTATCCCCGGGTCCTTTTTTCCTGTGTTTGTGAACTGTGATTACTAGACGGCCATGTTTGCGCGAAATCTCTGTTTCGAAGGCTGGCTTACGAACACAAGAATTAAAACCGACAAGTCAAGGTTAGATATAATTGCGGCTTGTCAAGTTATTGCGAATGTTTATGTAAATTCGAGGATTTAAAGGTCCATTCACAGAAAGAGAAATGTTAATCCATCGGGGAAGCTGGGTTAGGATAGCTTAATATCCAGGAATATTAATTAATGAACAGAACATAATGTATGAAAATATCTTGTTTAATTTAGAGGTTTTTAATTGTTGTTTTACTATACGTTTTAAAATTACTTTAAATCGCAAATTTTACTTTAACTAGTTGATTGAGAAAAACTTTAATAGCTCGATTCTGTTTTGTGCAGCAAACGCGATTTATCAAATTTACCAATAAATCATCCCTGAATGTTAAACGCATTATATAATATTCCCTGTTGTTGGCGCAGGATCAGAGAGCCTCGAGGAAAGGATATTGATCCCGGTTGGTACCTGCGAGTAGCAAACCCCCACAGCTGCGTGTACGAGATTCCTTATTAAGGGCGATTAGTTTGAAAATGACCAGATCTGGTGGATGCGAGTAGGTATATAGAGGACATAATCTGAGTAAGTGGGCAGTAATTGAATGCCAGTGTAACCTCAATAGCCCCTCTAATCGTTTATTCATCTTTCGGTTACTTCGGAAGTGTCTCCTGTTTTTAATCATGATATCAAACTTAAGGAACTGAAGTTAGTAATTCTACTTTATATCTAAACATACATAAATCTGAGACATTTCGACTATAAGAATCATTTTAGAGGTTTCAATATAAGTTCAAATTCGTTTTAGATGGATTCTGCCTTTAATTTGTAGGAATGCAAATTTTAAGGGTGGAAATACCTCTTTTAATGAACATTGAAGTAACTTCTGTCCTAATTCTCTACATTTTTGAGAAATTTCTATTACAAAAGTAATATTCGAATTTCTATTGACTGCTTTCAACTTATACAAATTAAATGTAAGGGATGAATCATCCCCTTTCCCTATAAAACCACTATTATTCCTTTAAAAATATTACCACAATAATTTATCTTAACACTAAAGCTACCGAGTAATTAAATTGACTTCTTGAAATACCCCTATAGAAACCTCAAGAATGCATTTATTGGGACTTCAATTAATTTATAATTCACTTAGCATATTGCTGAATAATTTCTCTAATAATTTCTCAGGGAAACATCTGTTATCTTTTTAATAATTACAAAAAGAAGAAATCAGGACTGGGTCATTTTGACTCGTCTGCTAGTTCTAGCGTTAATATCACTTTATTTGACAAAAGTAAATTATAAACTCCACAGGTTATTTCCAGTTTTTCTCAGGCGAAATAAAAGATCCTCGATCACTGAATATTTATTAACAAACTCTCCCCACCTTTAATAACTTTCATTAACCGGCAAACTATCTAAACATCATCAGTTCAGAAACATTCCGAACATCTGTCGAATCATTAGAGAGATCGATCGAGGGGTGTTCGTCGAGGATCGAAGAAAACGATAAAAATCGAGCGGCAATGGCGCCGGCTGAGAGTCACTGACGATTCGCGGGTCTCCGTATCTTAAATAACCGGCCGGCACCTATGATTTTCTCGGAACAACCGACGGCCCGATTAAATTGATTCGCAAGCTCGAACGCTCGAGGTGGATGGAGGGGGTGGGCGGCTAGAGGGGGAGGAGGAACGACGGAGGAGGTGGAGGCAGGCATAAACGAGGCTGGGCACCGTTTTGCCTCGGTAAGTAAATAAGTTTAAATGAGCGCATGACGACACGACGTTAGGTTCCGCGATCTGACCGACTGATTCGCTGATTTATGCAAAAAGGGGTGGGAGTTCTGTGAAAACCCTAAGAAAACACCCCAATATTCCCTCTCAAGCAGCTAATTTACATTTTTATAGACCGATTTAGGAACATTCCCGGCCGAATTAAATTCGTATTTCATCGCCGCGGTTTTTTGATAGGTGCTCACCCCTATTTCTCGACCGATTCGAGGATCGATCACGGTCTCATGAATATTCAAGATTGAAGAGTCGAACATGACTGGAAGTTGCTGCAAGTAGATTCTTTTCAAATGAAGGATTTGCTTAGACGACGGTGGTAACTTATTATTTTTTACGAAATCTGTGTTTAATCTCGAGAAAATTGAAT